CTAGTTAGAACAATGTCTGAAGACAGACTCAGAGATTAAAGATATGTCTAAGATTCTTTATGCCAATACAGTTGGTTGTTTGATGTATGTTAGGGTTTACACAAGACCGAATTTGGCACAAGCAGTTAGTCAAGTGTGAAAGTTCATATCCAAGCCAGAGAAGCAACATTGAGAAGCAGTTAAGTGGATCCAAAGGTATTTGAAGGGTACACAGATTGTGGTATCATGTTCAGCAGGAAACATGGTATTCCATAAGTTATAGGATATGTGGATTCTTACTATGCAGGTGATATGAATGATAAGAGGTCTACAATATAGTATGTCTTTACTTATGTGTGTGTGTGTGTGGGGGGGGGGGGGGGGGGGGTTCTATATGTTGGAAATCATCAGTTCAATCCATAGTAGTTATGTCTATAATTGAGGCAGAATACATGGTGGTTGTTGAAGCTGCCAAAGAAGCATTGCGACTTACAGTGTTAGTGAAAGAGTTAGTGTTGAGCAAGGTGGATTTCAATTACATTGTGATAGTCAGATTATTATCTATTTAGGGAACAATCAAGTGTATCATGCTAGGATCAAATATATTGATGTGAGGTTCCACAAGATCAGGGAGTTTATGACGTCCGAGAAAATGTTAGTTCAAAAGGTTCACACTTCAGAGAATGCAGCTGATATATTGACCAAGCAAGTCACTAGTAACAAGTTCAAACACTGTTTGGACTTGTTACAAATTTCTCAGTGTTAAGTCAGAGGTGTACCTCCCCAGTTTCCAAGACGAATCATTATGCAAGAAGTCTTCATAAGAGTTTAATATTCGCCAAGATGAAAATTGTTGAATATGGCTAATATTGTTGAGATAATTAGGATTGTTGAGATAATTATAAATTGTTGAGAGTATAACTCATATTGTTAAAATAATTATGGATTGTTGAGAGAATAACTCATATTGTTGAGACAATTATGTGTAAAAATAATTATTTATCGAGAGAAACTAGAGATTAGGGTTTTAGAATATATATATATATATATATATATATATATATATATATATATATATATATATATATATATATATATATATATATATATATATATATATATATATATATATATATATATATATATATATATATATATATATATATATATATATATATATATAATATATATATATATATATATATATATATATATATATATATATATATATATATATATATATATATATATATATATATATATATATATATATATATATATATATATATATATATATATATATATATATATATATATATTGTAATAGTATAATCCAAATGCAATTTACAAGACATAAATAAAAAAAGCTATAATTATTCTATAATTGCAGATATAGTTAATTTGACTGAACCGTATAAACAAAACATTTATGTATTTCTTTCACTACTCTAATTTATATCTATGTTATTGTTCTAACAGATTCAACTAATAAAGAAGATAACTAATGAAGAAGATAGTGACTAAAAAAATATTATCTCTCATTTATCATGTCAAAAATATAATTGAGTTTAAGTGGTTGCTTGTATCTAAATTTTTAACAAAATATGAATCACAATTACATTTGATTGATGAATCACTTACTATTGATGTTTGATTGACGAATCACTTCTGATCGACTAATCACTTAGATTCATAAATGATATTAAAAATGGCTAACTTAAACAAAACTCATTTGAATCTAAATCACATTAATAACATTTATTAAAAATGTATTATTTTATTTTGGATATATATTGTATGTGAGAAATTTTTTTAAAATTTTTTGTTAAATAAATAGTTGAAATATATAAAAATTAGAGATTGAGTAAATAGTTAGAATAATTAATATATTAAATAACATTTATTGAAAAGAGAAAAAAAATGATTAAAAACTGTTTAAATGAGATTTTACTAAAAATTTGACATCTAAATATGTTTTCTATTTTAATATTATTAAATATAACACAAGTTTTAGTTAAGAACAAGCAGATAAAAACAATAATTTTATAGCAAATTTTTTGATGATTTTTATTTAATCACTCATCTCTACAATTTTCATTATCATTTCAAATATTTCGACATCTTTCTTCGCAAATTTGTGCCATTGAGTGTTTGTGATCTATTCTAGGATATTACTTGAGGAATTTACATACAACGTTACTATCATTTTCCTAAATACATAAGCAAAATATATTAAATATAATTATTTAAATTAAATATTTATAATAAAAAGATATTTCAAAAAAATCACGTAGTTTCTGCAACTTCACCTTCAACCCAATGACATAAATAATTTAAATATTCAAATTTTAAAATTTTATTTTAATTGCTTAAGAAATCTAGATTGCCTTATGTTAACCTAATAAATTATTTATGATTAACAATAATCAGGAACTAATATTGTCATGATATTTATTGAGGGAAGTTATTAGTAGTATCGATACAAAATTAATGATTAGACATTTTTATAAGAAATACACTAATTATCCACCTAAAACTTTAAAATAATAAATATATAAATTATCATACTTATAAAATATTTATTCTTTCATTTTTTAATTAATATGAGACCTCTTCTTTGTGATTCTCAATAATATTTGAAAAAAAGTGAAACACAATCTAACAAGTTAATTTTTATGTTTTTAGTTGATTTTCATTAACTAGGGCAACTTTAGACCACTAACATTCCTAATGTGGCTAGGGACAATAATGCTCCAAAACCAATGAGGTAGAAACCAACCAAAGCCTAAACTTAAAATGACCAAGTTTCTTTTCCCTTACCTTAGAACATAATAGTTGTCTAACTCTGACTAGAAAACAGATAATAGTTACTTTCATGACCTCACATCATAAAATGACTCAAAATTTCTCTATCTTTCTCTCTCTATGACATGAAAGGAAATGTCTATATTTAAGAGAATTTCTCTTTATATTAGGTAATAGAAGTGGAAATTAGTCGATTTAGATTAAAATCGAATCAAAAATTTAAATTTGATATAAAACACAATTTCATTATTAAAGTTCAATTTTAACCGATAAAATTTTAATTTTTAGTGGATTCAATTTAGTTAGTTTAACAGATAAATCGGATGCGCTAGATCAGTTTAATAGTTATTGAAATAAATTTATAAAAATTATTCTTCTATTATAAAACTCATAAATATTTATTTTTTAATTTTTTTTATAAAAAAATTATCAAAATTTTATATTAATTCAAAGAAGAATTATTTTTTATTATTGAAAAAATGGTATTATCACGTTATAATATTTCAAATATCCTTTAATATTAATTTATTTATTATCATACATTAAACAACAAATTAAATAACACTAAAAAAATTATATTGTATGTCTTATATTTTTGTAAGTATACAATGTAACCATTAAATTATAAAAAGAATAATAACTTGATAATATTATGAACCTCATTTTTATAATGTTTCGGCTCTATAGTAATAAAAAATATATAAAATAAATATTAGTTAAGTTTAGTCGGATTTGGTTTCTGACAAATCCAAAATAATCACTTGAGCCCAACCGAACCAACCCTATACAATCCAAATTAAGCAACTGAGTTAATCCGACATCCGATCCGACTCGATTCATTTATATAAAAAAGATAATGGGTCGGTCGGTTTCGATCGGTCGGTACAAATTTGTCCACCCCTACTTAGTAGTAATGATTTTCACCACTAAAAACCTAAAAATACCTTTCGGATATGCACATCCGAACGCACCTTGTGAATTTGAAATATTGGATTATTCCGGATATACATATCTGAAGGAATTCTTATTTTTTATTTTCAGAGAGATTTCAGATATGCATATCCGAAATAATTCAATATTCCAATTTTTTTTTTATTTTGAAAATATATTTATTTATAATATAATTGTAATATAATTAAATTGAATTATTATTAATAAAAAATAATTTAAATTTATAATTAAAAATTAAATATAAAAGTAAATTTATGATATGAAATTAAATAATGAATGTGATAATTAAATTTTTAATTATAATGATAAAATGTAACAATTGATATATTTTATAACAAAATAAAATGTAACTAAATAATCTCGGTGTTCTAGACCTTGCGTTCACGCGTCTCTGGTATTTACGCGATCTAATGTAAAAAACTCAGTTCTCTAAAAAATCGACACTGACTTAAAATTTTACCATGTCAATTCATTCGAAAAAAATCAAGGATTATAGTCCCCTATTTTAGGACAAAATAGGGAATTCTTTATTTTTCTATTTTATTTGATTTATTTTCCGTTTTCATATTTTTCGAAAAAATCTAAAAAAGTTTGTAGATACTTTATTTAATTTTAATTGATTTTTAATTGTATTTTTAAATTTTTATAACAGAGTAAAATTCGGAAATGTATATTCGAAACCATTTTTAAAAAAAAAATAAAGTTTATTCGGAGATGCATATCCGAATCCATCTCATTTTTAAAAAAATTCGAATATGTATATCTGAAACTATTTTTTTATTTATTTTAAAAAGAGATGCTTTTGAATATACATGTATATCTGAATTTTAAAAGTATTTTATATTTTTCATTAGAGATTTAGATAAAGTGTATTAGGTGTGAAAAAAATTCTCTATTTTAATTAGATGCTACAAAATATAAGAGGAGGGTCCATCTCAAATTTTTACCTGAGAGGAATGGACAAAATTCGGACCACTAGGTTGATTGATTAGTCATAGTCATGAAGCACAATATTGGATTACAAACAATGACACCAAATTTTGGCACCTAAATTATGGATATCTTTTGAGATTTTGTGTCACAAGATGTGAAAGGAACTAGAGAAAAAACCCCACCATCAAAGATCAAAGATGGATCATGGATGCATTAATCAAACAAAAACATAAAGAGGCCTTTAGTTCATAGACAAAGCAAAGCAAATAAAAAAAATGTAAGGCCAAGATTTTTTTTGTCCATCCTTTTATTTCTTTTTGAGATATCATACTTTAAACCTCTCTTGGGTCTACAAAAAGAGCTCTTGTTGGTGATGTTTTGGTCAATTCATGAAATGTATTGATTGAAAGTCCTTCATTTTTCAATGCCTTTATACACCACAAATCCTCAGGGCAAGAAAGTAGTTTCCAATGTGGAATATGATGATTGAGTTCATCTCTTCCTCCAACTTCAGTCACAATAATCTTAACCTTGTCATCTTTATTCTCTTTAGCCATATTGTGCACAAATTGACACAAAGCTCTCACTAGCTTTCCTGAAAATGGCCCTTCATGATACACACCATACATAAAATAAAATCCAAAAGGGTTATAAAAATCAGGTAAAGTAGGTAATTTTAAACATGGGAAAATTTTATCAATCAAGCACCAACTTTTTGTGTATAACAAACAACAAAAAGGTACTTTTCCTAATCTCAACTTAAAAATCTCACCACTATTCCATACACTAAGCATAGCCCAACTTTTTGGTATTTGTCCATTAGGCCCAATATTAATATCATCTTTAAAATATGCCATCCATGTCCCTAAGCTCAACTTATTTTTTAATATATTTCCAATATCATTAGGAAAAAACTCTGTGGACCCCATGAATCTTCTATAGAGTGACTCAGCTTGTTCAATTTTCAACCTTGATATTTCAATGTTGGATGACATTTTAAATGAATGATGGTTCACAGGGTTAACAAGAATAGATGGTGTTCTAAATTTTGTGTAGTGAAATTTGTTTATGAAGAGATTTGTTGAAGCATGATTTTCTTTCTCTGTTGCCATGTATGCATAGTCCACATCATTTGAAATGAACCATTCTTCTAATGTTGTTACTAGGCTTGAACCAATTCCTTTTCTTCTATGATTTCTTGATACCCTTAAGCCTAAGACATACCCTACTTTTGCCAAATCTTTTGGTGGATGTCCTTGAACTGTTACAACTTTTATTGAGCCTTGAATGACACCAACCAATTCATTGTCCAATTCAGCCACCTAACATCCAATTAACAAGTTAGTGGTCAACATAATGATCAAATAATTAGAAATTAATATGGGTTTATATCGTGGTACACAAACATAATTCTAGTTACAATCATGATAATAAATGAGAAAATGCAGTAAATGTAGTCGAAATTGTTGTTATGAAATTATTGCATAGATTTCAAAATCTATAATATTATATTAGTAATTACGACGTAAACTCTAATATAAAGGATTTTGAGGTCATTTTCAATGTAACAATTTCGACTGCATTGACTGCATTTTGTCACAATATAAATGTCTAGGGTTTAACCGCGCGATTGCTGTTTAAAATCATGCATGAAAGAACAAGAAGTAGAATATGAATTGTGATTGAACCATTAAAAGAAAAGAAAGAAGTGGAATCATAATGTTATAGTAGTAGTATATATACCAGCATCATGTACATGGGACTGTTTCGAATCCTACAAATAGGGTCACCCATAGTGTCTGTGAAGAGAAACACACTTTCTGAAGGTCCTACTTCACATTTTCTCTCTAGAATTTCAACTTGAGCTCTATCAGATTGACCTTCATAGCTTCTAATTCTGAACTTATTGAATTCCATATCAAAGTAGAAGAAAATTGAAAGGTGTTTGATGTGTGCTTCAACGAAATAAAAAAGATGCAAATAGCAAAGAAGTGGAACTAACAAGTCTACAAGAAGAGTGGTCTGGCATAGACTACATTATGATTATGATTTATATGCACAGGATTGGAAATAAAAAACAAAAAATAATATAAAAGGAGGTGGGAAGAGAGAGAAGATATAAAATTGAGAGAATGTTCTTTATGAGAATAATCATAAATAACATAGGCTTCAAAAATAATAGTAGACAAAAGTTTTATTAATAATAGGATGTGTTTTTTGTCTCTAGCATTTTTGTGGTTAGTGGCCACTCATCATATATATATGTAGGTTGAGCGTATGTTGTTGCTACTTTTATTTTCTTTTTCTTCCATTAATGATTCATGCTCACTTTATTATGTCTTATGTGACACTCAAATTTTGTAAAGCCATCATTTTCCATGTCCTAATTAATCCCATATATATATATATTATATATATATATATATATATATATATATATATATATATATATATATATATATATATATATATATATATATATATATATATATATATATATATATATATATATATATATATATATATATATATATATATATATTATTTTGAAACTCAAAATTTAAATCCTTCTTTTCTCTCTTCACGAGTGTTGGAATATCACTCTTAGAATATAATACGACTGTTGAAATAAAGTGTCTATAAAAAAAAATACATTTATGTGAGCAACACCAACTTTTTCCATTCTTTCTTATTTCTCACAAATACACAAAATTATCTTTATCATCAAAGATATAAATAAAAGAAAGAAGGAAGAGAAAAGAGAAGAATTAGAAACAAAAATCGAAAATCGGACAAGATTCAATTTCATAAATTCGAGTACGCTTTTACTATTTTTGATAGAATTTAAAACACCGTGAAAATCATGATATCAACATCTAATACATAAAATTTTACTAACATTCGTGTCTCTTTATTTTAAATATTATTTAATTTAATTGATGTAATGAAATAAAATTTAATTTTACTATACAATTTCATTATTACATTTATAAATAAATAAAATGGCATAATTTTTTATTTGACTTTATAATTATTTGTTAAAATAATAAAGAAAATTTGACACCCAAATAGTAAAACTTGTATTGAAAATTCTAAATTAAAAACGAATTAAAATTTTGAAAAAATTGAGAGGAAAATAATATTTTAATAAAGAAATAGAAAAATAAAATTATTAGTGACCAAAAATTGAGACTAAATATGCGGTCTCAAAATTTCAGTCATTAAATCGGTGACTAAATTTATTTTATGACCAATTTAGTGACATCTAAAAATTTATGCATGGATATCAAATTTCGGTGGCTAGAGCGTACGAATTTTTCCGATCACTAAATCAATCACGAAAAGTAAATTTTTTAATAGTGCATCTAACGTCCCCTCACATTTCACGTCTAGAAAATAGCAGTTTGTTGTAACTACTCCACTATATAAAAAGCACATGTGCCAATTTCAATTAGAAAATTTTAAATTCAAAACTTTACTCATTCCTCTCCTTCACATACTGACTTAAACATTAAAGTATTAACCTAACAGATTAGCCCCTATTTTATTGCACTAGAAGTTTAGATCCACCGTTGCTCACTACAACCTTTATTCTCTAATCAATTCTAGTTTCATAACAGAACAATGACGTCGTCTTGGGATATGACTTATGATTCTCACATTTCCCACAGTTTTACATTTTCACTTCGATTCATCGATTAAAAAATCTTTCAACCTATCAGATTAAACTTCTTGAGATTGAACATCAGATTCATTCTCCTTGATCTATTCCAATAAAGGATTGACTCTGATTTCTGGAATTTTTAAACTTCTTATCTTCAAATCCTCCAATGATTGCTTGATTTGAAGCCATTTTCTTTGTAGCTGTACACGAAGCAGCCACCGCCACCGCTTAAGTAGTAAGAAATTAGTTATCTCCTCTTCCTCTAAGTAATGTAAATCAAGCTGTTGTCAATAATATTTTGAATTTATATCTACTCCAACTTCTTCAAATTGTAGGATCTTCTCCACAACTCCAACAAGGAGAGCCTTCAATAAGATCTCCAGTACCATCACCAGCTTCAGAACTAGAAGCATTACCTAGTTTCTAGTTGTTGGAGGCCAACATTGGAGTAAAAGGTGACAATAAATTGTTGAATAGTATGTACAACATCATTTGGAAACAAAACTGAAAGGCCATAGAATAAATATTATTTCACCTAAATGAAAGCTTGCATAACGCCGATGAAGAGAAACACGGTGCATGAATTCGGTTCCATAAGGAACCAACCAATTATCCCTTAGTCGATTGCCTCACAATGAGAGGCGGCTCTGAGGCATCCAACTCATTCTCCTAGTCCAAGAGGATATCAGGTCAGTCATATCCCCGCTAAAGAACAAGTGGATAAGCCTCCAGTAAGGAACCTGGAGAAACATCCCCTATGTGCTCGCATGCCAGATACCAAAATCCTTGGAGAAATCTCCAAAAATGAACGAGTACGATGGATCCTTCAGGCTCGGGTCCAAATCCTTACTAGATAGAAGCATTGAGTCCTGGATTGATCTATGCAAGCTTCACCGCTCACTTTATTATTCAAAAGAGACAATGATGAAGATAATTTCCCAGAGTTGGAAAACACATAGGAAGAAATAAATATTATCGTCGTACATCGACTATTTCATACAAGTGGTAGTGGAAGTAAAAGGAGCAGAAGAGGGCCTCAAATGTTAGATATTTGAGAACTACCGGTAACATGATATTTCCTTTAGGAAGAAGATATGGTGCAAGGAGGCCCCCTGTGTGAAAGAATAATTGAGTAGGGCACAAACCTTAATTAACTTGGAGGAGAAACTTAATTCCTGGTTCGACAACCCGACTGCAAAAAATAATGGTTCCAATTGATCGTCTAGGAAAGACTCCCACGGGAGTAAAGATGAATCTGTCCGGGGAACCCATGTCATCCTGATAAGTAAACTCCTTTGAATTCTTCTTGAGATAACATTTACCAAGAGTGCGCCAACGCAGAGTTTCGGAAGGACGAACTCAAAAACGTCTTCTCCATTATAGATTCTTCCAGAACGAATAATAAAGATTATTGTCTCTTCCACAAGGGCCACTCCACAACACTAATGATTGTATCTACCTAAAAATTTCAACGGGAGTTTGATAAAGAGAGTTCAATTGTCAGAATATGTCCAAGGCGACTAAAGAGGTAGAGAAGAATCGCCTAATATCAAGTCTCCTCTCTAAAGTTGTAGAAGTCATGACCAACAGAGAGAGAACCAACGACGAAGATAAAGGAGCAAGCAAAGGGAATCTCAACACATTATCATTATCAATGGAGGAACACCCTTGCTAAATATCATGTCCAAGGAGACGATGAAGATAAAAATTGCTAAATTAATGGTCTTCCAAAAAAGGGGAAAGATGAAGGAGCAAGCAAGGGGAAGCACTAACACATTGTTGTTATCAATGGAGGCGCACCCCTGCTGAATATCATGTCCAAGGGAATGATGAAGATAAAAATTTCTAAATTAATGGACATCCATAAAAATGGGGAAAACAGACCAACCAAATCCCTGAATTATCAATGCTTGGGTTCTTGGATACCAAGAGAGTTAAAGAGTACTAGAATGAGATCTTTACATGGTCATAACTGCTACAATCGTCCATTATGATGTCTCCTAGATCCTAATAAATGGAGGTAACTCCTGCGATATAATATATTCAGAGTTGTTTGAGAAGGTGGGCCTCAAGAAATAAAAAATTTCGACGTATGAAGGGATAATACTTGGAGACGTTCAACATTACTACAACTCGTCCATGGGGCTATGTCGAGTTATAACTTTCTATGGGAGGAGAAAGGGACATTAGGACAATGAAATCGTAATTCCATGCAATCCCTTACAAGAGGGTTTACAACTACAATCTCGACACACATTTCACAACTCCCCTGGATGTCGTGGCCTCAGTGGTCCAACTCAAGCTCAAATTTCAAAACCTTCAAAGTGAACCAGTCACAATTAATGTCAACCTTGAAGGAGTCAAAAGGATATATCAAGCACTCCATAAAAATCAAGTGGAGAGAAAATCCATGGAGATTAATCTAACCTCCCTAATCAGTCAACTAAGGAGCATGAATATCCGACCTGCCAGAAGTGGTTGACCCGACGAGGTGGAAAATAAAGAAAATCAGCAGTGGATAGCCCACATGGTTATGTTTTAAAATTTATATTTGATGTTATTTCTCATATGGCTAATTCCATCACATAATGTACGACAAACTTCCATTATCAATAAAGAAATCACAAATTTTAAAATATATGTTTTCTTTGTGATTCTATAAGGTAACGTCAAGTCCGGGGTATGACCAGAAAGATCTAAGCCTCAACACAAAGACTCGGGGGGTTCTATCGCAAATTCCATGAGTGTGTGACAACAATAATCAAAACTACACAATGCAAAGACACACACATAAATAAAGTGACAAAACCAATAAAATGGAAATAACACTCCACCCCATATAATATCTAGCCACTCTATAAGCCGCAATAGGTTAGCCACACATCTACCTCATATCAGGTTTTCACCTGGGGAGAGAGGTACCCACTCTTGGCCGAGCACAATCCCAGAGATGTTCAATAAAATTTGGGGGAAGAATTCAAAGTTCGTGTAAAGCCCGAAGTAATTTACATAGGATCAAATATATATGCCTTAAATAGGTAAAGATGACAACATCATATCTATTTCATTTGATTCATACTTTACATACAGGGTGTTACAAAAAAAGGAAGAAGGCCTGCAGTCCCTTAGGGGGACGATTTGGTATGGTCATACTTGTTCCTTTGAAATACACAAAGGAGAGTGAAAATGATCTACTTCATGCATGTTGTTCTAAAAGGACTCCAAAATGGATGTGATACTAGTAGAAAATGAT